GCGAAGAGCGCGGCGTAGTTGGCCGCGCGGCGTGGAGGGCCCGGCCCAGCCCGCCTAAGGGCCGCCGCGCCGCGCTGACAGCGAAGGGCCTTCCCTTGCCCCGCGTGGAGGGGACGCTCGCGGGACGCGTCTGTGAAAATGGAAGCCGCAGCGAGCCGCAGCGCACGGTGATGTGCGGCATCGAGCGCAGGTGTGGATGGCCCTACACTACAAAACACTTCCCCGTCGTGACCGCGCTAGTCGAATCGGTCACACCGAGCAGGGCCGCAGCCCCAACAAAAGGCAGTGAACTAAGTGGGTGGTTCTCGGCACGGCGGAGGGACGGGCTGGCCCAGGGGCTGGCCGGGGCCGCGGTGGGCCGCCGAACGCGATCATCGTTAAGACAGGAAGGGATAAACAGAAAGAGAGGTGGGCGTACTTAGCGAGGCACGCCGCCCGACAGGGGTTTAATCACGAAGCCGAAATGGAACGGCAAAAACTGCCGAGTCAGCAGCCCTCGGCTAGCCAGTCCCTCCGCGTGGTTGCCAAATGAGAAGGCTGGGGTGCCAGCATCCGTCTCTACTCGACCAACAACAACACCAACAAAAGGACGTGGCGTTAGGGTAAACAACAAAAACAAAAAATTACCAGTCTGGTTCGTCTCTAGGCCGCGTTAAGCCTGGGGCACTTGTCGTCTTCCAGGTCGTCTTCCGGCGGACACCAAAGCGTGCATCCACAGCCGAGCCCCCCGGGCGGGCTGGCCCGGCTGGCGCCGCAGCAGGTTAGCGCCCACACGAGCAGCCAGGGGCCGCGGGGCCTGGGCTTGTTGCCGGGCTTGTTGGCGGCGTGCAGGTGCGTCGACGCGCAGCACAGGTTGCGCACGCCCAGCGCGGAGCACAGGCACACGCAGCAGCAGCGGCGCGGTGCCGCCGACGCGGTGGACGCCGATCGCCAGCGCCGCGGGGACGGCCACGACCACCTGGACGGCGAGGAGGAGGACGACGACTTGCGCAGCACGTGACGCGGCGCCACCATGTCAACCGGACTGTTGTCAGGGCGTTCCTCGGGGCGTTCCTCGGGGCGTTCCTCGGGGTGTTCCTCGGGGTGTTCCTCGGGGTGTTCCTCGGGGCGTTCCTCGGGGCGTTCGTCGTCGGGACGGTCCTCGTCCGGCGGCGAAGTCATCCCGGCCCCGCGTCCGGCCGGCCCGGCATCCCGCCACCGTCCTCGGCCTCGGGCCGCGCGGCCTCCACGACCAGGGCCTACAGGGCCGCCAGCACGACGCGAGGCATGACGTCAGGGCGCGCGGCGAGAAGCACGGCGCCAAACACGCGTCGCGGGGGCGTCGCGGGGCGTCGCGGCGCCACCCTCTGTGTTCGGTGGCGGCGCGCTCGGGACTGGCGCGCTGGCGCGACCGGGCCTCCCTTCGACCAGCGCCGCGCCACGCCGCCTTGCCGCTGCCGCCACAACCCCCACGGGGCCCACGGCACGGCCTGCGGTGCGGCGCGTCGAGGCACTATACGATGTCTCGCGCACAAGTGCAGTTTGCTTAGATTTCCGACACCGCTTGCAGATTTCTGGCGTCGCGGGACAGGACACAGAGTGTCCAAACAATGCATTGGGCTAGGGTTAGCATCAGGGAGGGAATCCCTGAGAGACTCCGGCCTGAGTGCGGCATCCGGAGGTTGGTCTAGCCCGTAGTGGTAATGGTAATGGAGGTTAGGCAAGCCCGGAGTCTGCGGTGCGCGGCGGTGGCCTATCCCCGACTCGACAGGCGCTCTGGCCCCGGCCACGCCGGCCACGGCTTGGCTCCGGGGTGCCAAGCCCGGCGATGAATGCGTTGAATAGTCGCAACGCCAACGCCGTGCCTCGCTCCGTGCCACGCTCCGTTCCGCCAACCACAGGAGGCATTGTCCCAGGCACTGTCCCGGGGATTCGCGCATTCGCGTGCAAACTGGCACGCCGGGGTCTCGCATTCGCGCCCGCGGGGAGTGTTTGGTGGTGCCCCACGTGACTGCGTGACGCTCGCTGTGACGAGCCACGTGACAAGGCCCGTGACCGGGATCGTGACGAGCGGGCGAGAGCCGGCGGCGCAGAGCAAGCCATCGGCAAGCCGGCGCCGCAGTGGGGTTAGAGGGGCTTCCCTGCTGCCTGGCTCTCCGCGCCGAATCTGCATACCTTGACACGTTTACACTTTCACGTCCTTGCGGCCCCGGCCCCCTCCCTTCCTCGCTCCGCCGTGCTTTCGTCGCTCTGTCTCTCTCGCTCTCGCGGGCCGTGTCGTCCGAGTCCCGTGCGGGTGCGAGAGAGAGAGAGATGGTGCGCCGTTCGCCGCGGGAGCAGTCCACTGCAGTGCGCGCGGAATTGGCGCACGGTGTGCTGCAAAGTGCAAATTAAAAGGCGTACGGGTGACGGCACTGCGAGGTGGGGCGCGGCGGGGCGGGGCGCCCTGGGCCTCTGCGCCGCAAAGACCCTGCAGAGGACCCTGCAGAAGCACAATGAGCCCACTCGGGCGCAGCGGCGCAGCTTCAACGGCTCCAGCGACGAGCCGCGTTGAGCCTCATTCATTCTGCTGCCTGGAGCCCGAGGGCGCTCCGAGGGCCGAGGCTGGGATTTCCCCCAAAACTGCGACGTGCTTCTGCTGCTTCCGCTGCTGCCGCTTCGGCCCGCCGGCAGCGCAGTGTTGCTATTAGCCTTTCAATTTCGGCAAGGTGGCCTCGACGGTGCGGCAAACAGCAAACTCGAGTGAAAGAAGGCGCGAACCGCGAGGCGACCGCGAAATGCCGCGCCGCGAGTTTCATAATGATGTTGTATTTATTTATTTTTTTTTTTCGTCGAGCTGCAGCCTTGCCGCTGGTAATGCGGACGAGAAACGACGCGAAATGCATCGCGGCCCCCAATCTTCTCTCGCTTCGACGCGGTAATGGAGGCGCTGCCGATACGGGCATTGTCTCGGCGTCATCCTGGAGCCCTCGGGGCCTCGAGGAGGGCCTCGTCGTGGAGGGCCTGGCGGAGGGCCGAGGACGGCCGAGGGCTCCGTCTCTGAGTAATGAGGCCGCCAATCGACGTACCTGCCGCCCCACGGCCCTGCGGCCCTACGCCATGACAAAGGGCTGGCGGACACGTGGCTACAAGGGCGTGCCCAGGGCTGGCGGGCTGGCGGGGCTGGCAGGGCTCTGAGGGCTCGGAGGCGGGGAACTCAATTTGCGAACTGCGGAGATGACTCATCACCCTGCACTTCTCACCATCACAACATGTAGTGGGTCTATTCATGGGGAGATAGAGGGAGACAGAGAACGGAGCCCAGAGAGGGGGGAGGGTGCTTACGTACGTGGTACAGTAGTAAGCCAAGCGCACACACAGGTTTTCCTAGTTTACTCTTTCTCGAGTCCCCCCCCCTTTCCCCTCCTCATGTTCCGTGGCTGTTCTTTTGAATTGAACTGCACTTGTTGAGTCGAGTCCCCGCATGCAATGAATCGAGGCTTGTTTGAGCAGCCTCGTGCCGTGCCACGCCGGGCATCAGCACCGCGGCCCCGGAATTTCCGTCGTGTCGCCTGCGAGAGACGGGGAGCATCAAGTTCACGGCTTGACGGGGGTATGATAGATAGTGCTAATATTCTGTCTGCTGCAAACCTGTTCAGCATAAACGCATATCGACGAGATGGTGGGCAGGCAGGCCAGGCGCGGCCGAGGCGCCTGCCAAAATAACCCTGCCGCGCTGCCGCCGCCGAGACGCGGCACTCTTTGGCCGCCTGGGCCAAACGCCGAAATGGGAAATGGGAAGACTGACGTGGAACGAACGCCAAACACGTAGTTCCGTTGTCGCGTGCGCGCAGTGCGCGGAACGACAGGGAACGACCCGGTCGCTAGCCCGCCATCAGTGGCGGGAAGCCCGAGCAATGGCGGCGGCCGAAGCGCGGTGAGAGAGGAGTAGTGAAAAAGAAAATCGGAAAATCAGGATGGGAAAACAAATGCAAACAATCGGGCAAAGTGGATCCGGCGTGACGCCGGCGGCAAGCAAACCAGAGGCAGAGTGCCAGCACCAGGTACCGCCTCGCCAGACCGCCAGACCAGCCTCGCAAACTTTTCTAGTTCGGCTGCTGTCTGCGCGCGCTCATCCCGCCGGGGCAGAAGGGGAGGGGAGGGGGTCGGCGACAAGCAATTCCAGTTAATCGTTGCCTGCTGATGATTGCTGCGCAGGGGTGCAGGGGTTGCCGATGGAGGTGGAGGGGGGCTTCTAAGTTTGATGCTCGCATCCCATTTGTGGCAATCGGATTACAGGACACGTTTGGCGGCCGTTCAGCGCGGCCGAACTTCCCTCCACAGCTTTGCTGCCTCGCCGTGTAGCGCATTAGGGCGGGGGGGGGGGGGGTACGTCATGCCTAAACAATAGGGAGGGGCGCAGGCAGCGCAGGCCTCGCGCAACCACAAGCCAGCCGATCGGCCCCACCTGGAGCAGCCTCCAGGGCCTCCTCGCGACACAAAACGCTCAAATGGCAGTCCGGCACACTTTTTCGTCGAAGTTCCCTTTCGATTTAGATGGTCAGTTCGTCATCAAAGTGAAAACCTTGTCAGTTTGTGCTAGTTCAGGATGACCGAGAAGGAGATGGGGCGAACCAAACTGTCTGCCTTCTTGGCCTGGCGTGCCTTCGGCAAGGCCTTCGGCAGGGCCGTGGGCATCCCGACGTCGCCCTCCTTCTTATTCCGACGGGGCGGCGCTCCACGCACGGCTGGCATACATTGTATCGAACACGAGAGCACGACGACGGCCCTTGACGAGCCAGACGATCGGACGGCCACGGCGGAGCCGAAGCGGAGCCGGGCCGGCTGGGACGAGGGTTGCGATCAAAGCATGCACTGGCCCGCCCCGTGCCGCGCCCTGTCCCCCCGCCCGCAGCCTGCAGCCCTCGCCTCGCCCGCCTGGCATTCCCCGCCCCAGTATGTGTGCGAGAGAGAGAAAGACAGAGAGAGAGAGAGAGACAAAGAGAGGCTTTGGATGCCCAGGGCGCGTGGACCCGACTCACCGAATCCGCGCCCAGGCCCGAGCATGATGGCTCCGCTCCGCTCGTGGAGAGGCTTCGGAGGAAGGATCTGCAGACAACAACAGGAACAAAAACAGCATCAGGCATCCATGTCGCTGCACTCGAAGTAATAGGCAGGCCCGAGCGGCTTTTGCGTGCGACGCAGTTCTGTCACGTGAAAAAATGCCTCGATTTTTATGGGTGACAAAAGCGCGCCGTGATCATTGGACCTTCCCCCCGGTATGGGGAGAGTGGCAATAATTTCCAGGCATAACGAGGCACATGCCGGCGGCCTTTGCAGCAGCATCAGCAACAACAACAACAACAGCAGGTTGACCGATGGCCCCACCCCGTGCCAGTGCCCACCTCACCAGCATCCAGGCCCTCCCGCTATTGTATCCGTTCGCATAACTGAACGTAAATCATGACCGGGCAGCGAACGGAACGGGGCAGGGCAGGTCGGGGTGAGGTGGGGCGGGGCGGGGTGGGGCGGGGTGGGGCGAGGCGAGGCAAGGCGGGGTGCTCCGGCAATTCATTAGGAAAGCGAGCCGCCCGTTGTGTCAGTTGATTCATTCCGCACTGACTTCCATTCACGGCCTGACGAGTGTCGCCGAGAGAGACGAGGCACTGTCCACGTCACGGGCAACAATTAGACTTATAAAATAGAGAGAAAGAGGACAAACGTGGCGGCCGGAATGTTGTTTTTTTCTTTTTTTCGGCTGGTAGCGGGAGTTGAACCACGGTCAACCCCATTCAAAAGCAAAACTTGGTCGGTCTTTGGGGCGCCTCATTGATCGCCGAGCTCGCACCGCTTGCGGTACTCGACGGATTCGGTCCGCCCCGAGCTCCAAACACCGTAAACAAGGCCCTGCCGCAGCTGGTTTGCCGTCAAGGCACGCCAAGGCCGGCCGCGGTCCACCGGCCCGCAGTGCTTGGTGGCGAGTTTGGTGGCCAGGGCGGGGCGGGGCGGGGCGAGGCGTGCAGCCCGAGAGCCACTTGTTCTGCCCCAGCGCGGCCCGCCCGAGCGACCCGCCCCGCCAGGACTTCCCCGCTGCCTTCCTGTTCCGGTGCAGCTACACTGCGCGGCCTCGGCTTCGCTTCGAATTTGGCGCCAAAACGCCCGGGCTCATTCCTAATTGGCGGGAAAAGTGGCCCGTTCCCGCGGCGCGCAGTTTATCGTTTCAAATAAACAACCCGGGCGGCCGCCTCCCCCCCCCCCCCCCCCTATTCGCCGCAGGGCCGGTTGCAGGAGCCGCAGGGCGCCGCAGGGCAGATTGCCGCGGGGAGGTCCTTTTAGGCAGATTGGCGCAGGTTGGCGCGCTGCGAGCTGGGCTGCCAGCTCGGAGAGGAGTGGCTGCCACCTAATGGTGGCGCGAACCAACGCCGCGAGAACCAATCCGCTGCACACTGCATCCTCCGGGTCTGCCTTGCTTCTCGACTCCCCCCCCCCCCCCCCCCCGTCTCCCTCCATCTCTACCGCCGCGCTTGTGCCTCCAACTTTCCCCCTCCCTCAAAGTCGCTCCCAGGGGTCCAAATCCCCTACGCAAGGTAACCCGCCCCCACCCCTGTTTGGCCCGAGGTCTCCACTCAAATCCCGGTGCCCATCACTCCTCGCCCGGTTCTGACAATCGATGGCTTTCCGCTTCGAGGGCGCACCGGACGGACGGACAGACGGACTGGCGGGTGGACAGATGGCCGGACAGGCGGGCAGACGTGGCAATGACGATGAGCAAGCCGGCTTGCCCACCTGCGTGATTGTTACGCACAGCCGGGCCGCGCGTGGTAAACGAAAATCCCGAATTCCGATTCGCGCGATTAGGTTCTCTATATACTTATGTCGGTTTCTGTTCTGGTCACCGTCACTCCAAACCGACAGCAGCTCTCCGGTTTTCGACGACGGCCCACGAAACGGCCAGCAGCAGACGCAGCCCGGCCGCTGAAGTCGGAACGGTATGTTGCCACAGCTGCTAAACCGTTGAAATTAGAAGGGTATAGTAAGCGAGCCGATTAAAGATCTTGGTTCGAACTACAATCGGCTCGCTTACTACACCCCTCTAGCTAACACGGTTTAAAAGTAGGAATAAATATATACCTCCCGCGGCGGCGCTGGCGTCTTAAAGTGTAGAGGTTATGTTTCGGTCGACGGCTGACTTTCATTTACCTACTGACCACAAATGGATAAAATTAGACACGACATGTAGCTGCAGGCACACCGCGAAATACACATCAGAGCACCGCGAACGAGTGTCACGTAAGACCCGCGGGTCACTCGCGAAACGCTTTTCTTTCGAAACAAAAACGCACGTCGCGCCGCTGCCATCGCTTCGGCAAGCGTTGACTCGGTTTTCGCGCGCCTTGCCTGCGGCGGAAGGTGTATTTCGCGCGCCAAGTTCGAGCCGTCTCTCCGAAAACCCAGAAATAGACAATTCTGGGCGGCTCGGAATCTGGAATTTTCGTTTGCCGCAGGTCACCTAGTGGGAACGGACATCCATATCCACTCGTGGAGGAACCCTTGTTTCCCGCCCCGCCCCGTCGGGTGACCTCCTCATTCATTATGCAGGCCGCGCCGGGCCGGCCCTCTTTATTAGAAGGCCAAGGATCACGTCTCCTCGGCCGCCTGCCTGCCTGGCTGGCTGCCTGCCTGCCTGCCTGGCCGCCAGCCGCCCGGAGCACAACGATATTTTGAAAGGCGTCCCGTCCCGGCCCCGCCTCCTCCCCGCCCCACCCCGGCAATATCGTTTTAATTTGAGGGGGCTTGACAAGGACGCTGGATAGAAGTCCAAGTTTATCAAGAATGCCCCTCGTCTTTTGCGAAACGATTGGCGCCCTTTGGAGGGCGGTCCGGCGGCGCCAGCGGCCCGGACGGCGAAAGGCGAAACTTGGCGCTGTCCGTCCCTTGGTCCGTCCCGTCCGCGTCGAGGCTCGGCCGGGCGGCCATCAAGACCGCCCTATTCCACGACCCAAGCACACGCTGCCTCGCACTCCCCGCCAACACATTAGGAACCATCGCTCAGCCAATTACCGCAGGCCACGGCAGGCTGATTCGCTGCTCTGTCTCTCTCGCACTCACGGGGTATGGCGCGGGTGCGAGAGGGACAGAGCGACAATCGGTCTGCAGGGCTGGAGGGAGGCCGGGAAGGCCCCCCACACACCAATTAGCAAACTACGGCCACTTCCACGGCCACCGCCAGCCCGCCATTCACGACCTCGCACACACTCACCCCCCCCCCCCCCTCTCTCTCCACTTCGGCGCCGCGCCCCACCCGCGGCCCAGCCGATAATATCCACAAAGGAACGAGGTGATTGGGAATCGTCTGGAGTGGGGCGAATTACTATGCATGCCTTCCCGCCCCCCTTCCCCACAGTCATTCCATTACCGTGTGCGAGTGACTCGCGCAAAGGTGGGGCAGGGCGAGGCAGGGCGCCGCCTCGGTGCCGCGATGCGTCCGCGGCCAAGGAGCTCTAACTACGCGAAAGCATTTTCGTTCGCGCCCCGGGCAGGTCGGGTCTGCCTAAGGGTGGTTGTTTCAGGCTACTCCGCCGAGTTACAACACGTCACGGGATCAATGGCTCAGCCAGGCTGGCAGCCAGGCCCGCGGCAGTCTTTACGTCCTGGAGGGCTGATCCGCGCTGCCTGCTTTATAAGGATGCGCCTTGAACCCCCTGAAGGTCCTGGAGGTCCTGGAGTGCCCCGGCAGCCCCAGACCGGCCAGGAGTGGCGGCCCCCCTGGGTGCCCTCAGGTATCGCCCGGCCCGGGGATGGACCCTGGACTTTGCCGGCGTGCCCCGGGTCGAACCCTCGCGCGGCGTGCCCAAGGCGCGCCCACCCGGCCTTGAAGCAAAACACTCTCCCACGTGAACCTTGCGCTGAGCCGAACGCCCGAACGGCAGGCCGGGGCCGCCGGGACGGAACGTGTCGGGTCGGCCCAAGATTCTGTAAAGTCGTGTTTGCGATGCGGGAAAGGGAGGCCAACAGGCGAGCATCATCATGCCTCCGCGCCGCAGCCCGCATGGGGCCCCGCTAGTGCCACGCCACTGCAACCCCGGAGAGCAGAGCAGAGTCGATACCCAGCCGTCTCTCGGGACCGGCGTTCCACTCTCCACGGTCCTTTATTTTTCAAGGGCTTCCCCAGTGATTCAAAGACCGTGCAACGCGTCAGCGCTGGGTTTCGTTTTTGTCTTTTCCCCGTGCGATCGTTGCTGCTAGGCGAGGCTGCGCCGTGCTGGGCCGTGGTACTGCTGCTGCTGTGCACAACCCCTCCGCGCTCCGCCCCGCACTCGAACCAGCAACCAGCCCGGTGAATTTCCATTTTATGATAAAGCGTAAAGCCGGCGGATGGCTAGAGCACCTGGCGGACTCATTTCGGAGCGGCAGCGCGGCAGCTGCCAACAAAACGGCAAAACGCGACGCGGCACTACACGGCGGTCGCGACTGCGCCGTTTTGCCTTGCCGCCGCTACGTCGGGGACGTCGGGGACGTCGGGGACATCGTGGACCGGCGCCGCGAGGCAGGCAACCCTTCCGGCCGCAGGCACGGCCGGGGGCACGGCCGGGGGGCCGACGATGACGTCACCGCCTCGTTGGGGCGGCCATCAGGACGACGGCAATGGGGCGCCGGAAAGCACCGCCGGTGACCCGTGACCCGATGGCGTGCTGGAGGCCGTGCTGGAGGCCGTGCTGGAGGCCGTGCCGGAGGTCGTGCACACCGGGGCATAACAGGGCTGACTGGATCGCGCCCCTCCCTCCGAGGCCCCTCGGCCCTTCCCAGGCCCTTTCAACGCTGCAATCGGAAACGAAGGGGAAGGGCACAACGTCGGTGTCCTCGGTACGACCCACAGAGTTGTTGTTTCAGTTTTTTTTTTCCTTTTTGCTTTTATCTTCGAATATTCCATCGGAGGCCGCGCCGCCGCCCGCTCCAGAGGACAGGCAAAGAGGCGGGAGCCTCGTCGACGGGGAGGCCGAGGGTAAGAGTTCGTGGAGCAGCACGACGCCAGGTCGTTAGCCGTCGCTGGCGGATGGGACGGCTCCTACACTTGTATCTCGTCTCGGCGGCCCTTGGCTTTTGTGAGTCACGTGTGTGTCACGTGTGTCGCACATCGCGTGACGGGCAAAAACTAAAGCAAGTCAAGTGCGCGTGCCGCGTGCTCGGAGCGGAGCGGCGCGGGCCATCCGGGACCACCAGGGCCACTCGCTCGTAAAGCCAGTAAAGCGAAAACGGTGCCGTAGACTCGTAGATAAAGCGGTTAGTGTGTTTGCTTTCGGGAATCTGGGGTCCGCGGGCCGCGAGCACGTCGGCGATAAGCGGCGAGACTCGGAGCACCTCGAGAAGGCCGGCCAGTGAGCGGCTTCCCGCGGCCAGGAGAGAGGCTGCCCGAGGCTGCCGACGACATGGACGAGGCCGCGGCGGGCGCCGAACCCGAGCCGAACCCCCAAGAGGTACCCGGAGGGCATCGGCCTTGGCGGCCAGGCGTTCGCGGACGTTTGCGGCGCGTCGTTCCTGGTCGTTCCCTGCGAAGTGCACAAGAGCGGCCAATAAACTGGTGCCGCGCGAAATCCAGGTTTATGCGACCCCGCGGGCGGCGCGGCCCGGGGGAGGGGATGGTGGGGCTGTGGCCTGGCTGTGGCGTGCAGGAAGCGTGCGCCCCGCGATAAAGAGCGCCATTGCAGCGTGCTTGTAGGGGCGGGGCACCGTCAGAGGCTGCCGTCAGAGGCCGTCGTCAGCTCCTTACCTGTCGAGGTGTCCGGGGAAGGCCGCGACGTTGGGCAGCGAGCCGCGGTGGCCTGGAACAAGGCAAGAAAGGGCACTGTTTACCGACGCCAAGGTTACTTCCGGCGGCCAAGTCGGCCAAGTTGAAAGCGGGCCGAGGACGACGGCATGGCGGTGTGTGCGCCGGATTTGGGGCGACGGGGGAGTCCTAATGACGGCCCAGGGCAGCCGGGGGTCGCGACAACCCCTCCCCTCCCCTCCGCCCCTGCTTCCCTCCGCGCGGCCCGCTGCGGCCTACCCCGGGCCGCCCCGCAGGGCCGCCGGGCCGCAGGGCCGTAGGACGGCCAGGGTAACAATGAACGATGAGGAAGTAAGGACGTGTCCGCCCGACAGTCCGACGGCCAGCTCGGCCTGGGTCATCCTCGCGCGTTGTAAACGATTCGCGAAAGTGTGGCACTACACAGCGGAGCACAACTGACTTCATTATCGAAACGAGTTAGCACGCCGAATGATCTGCGAGATTTTAATTGTGTAGGCCCCGACGAAGCGCCCCTCCCCTTCCCCCTCCCGCGCTAGTCCACCAAACGAAGAGGCCGGCCGCCGCCTTTGGTACACCTGCTCGGCGTGCTTGACCCGGCTCCATCGCTCAGCCAATAAAGTCCCGCAAGCGGTGCAGCCTCACGGTGGGCCTCACGGCGAGCCTCACGCCGCCTAATGGAGAATGATGCATGCGCCGCCAAACTTGGCCGTGGGGCCGCCCGGCCGCCCGGCCGCCGTGTCGTGTGGAGTATGAAAAATTAAGCAGGAAGGCCGCCGCCTGCCGCCGTCCTCCGGGACCGCACACCGCACTCCACCGGGTCCATCGTCCGGGGGGCGTGATTGATCACGTTGTTCCGAGTGGCGGCGGGAAAACCGGGAAAACCGACGGGGAAGGCTGGGAAAGCGCGCCAGTGCCGCCCGGACAGTGTACTCACCTGCGCGGCGGGGCGGGGCCCAGGGCGGGGTGCCGTGAATGGCGGCGCGCGGGGCCTGCAGAGCCGCGTCCACCTGCAGAGCAAAAATAGACCATTATGCGGTGCCGTGGCGTGCCGCTGGCCGTGGCGACCACCGCGACGACGCGGGCGCGACGCGGGCCGTGAGGAAGCCGTCAAGAGGACAGTGCCGCAGCACACACTAGCATACCCCACAGAGCCCGCATACTACCCCGTATAAGGAAACCAAACGAGTATTAACCGAGAAATTTGAAAGGGAAAAGAAAAAATTTGAACTCTACACCCCCTCCCCAGTCTTAAGGGGAGGCCTCCTGCTTTACTTCGGTGTTCGGGATGGGAACCGGTGCTATCAGGTACCTGGGGTTAATCCCGTCAGCGACCCTAAGCGTTCGCCGGGGGACCCAGTAGGACCCCAAAGCTCAGGCAGCTGGGTGAGAGCACCCAGTACGAAGCTCTTTGAGGGGCGGGACGTAGAGTGAGACGACAGAGAGACAGAGAGAGACTCAGACAGAGAAGAGGTTTGGTGGGAGCTTCTTGTTTTCGTAGGGTTGGTTGTGTACCCCATGGTACCCCCACTGTCCGGCGCTCCCGTACCGAACATACAGCGTTTTAGGCCAGCTTCAAAGGACTTATCATCGCCTCCCCGACAAGTCAAGGAGGCACCACCCGCAACCACACACCGGGTGGTCTGGATTGATGGATCAAATACGCCATCGCTCCAGTGCCGAGGCCAACCCGCCGAAGCGGATTGCTTTTTAGACACCCACAGCGGAGTGGCCAGGTGAATGTGACTCTGACCACTACGCTATCACGCTTGTACGTCTGGCAGCGTGTTGGACGACGGGTTTGAGTTGCACTGGGAGGAAGGCGGTCGAAAAATGTAATGAAATCATGAGATTCGATCCTCGGACCCCGCCATCGGGATCACACGACTTTACGCTCTCGGCCACCACGGCCCATGATGAGGGGATCGGCGTGAGGTGGGTTCTTGACGCAACAGGACTCGACCGACCCGGTCAAAATTTCGCAAGAAGTTGGGGGAGTCGAACCGCCGACCCTAGCACTGAGAACCGACGCCTCTACTCCCTGGACCACCACGTCCCATGCTCGGAGCGGGCTCACGTTTACGGGTTTGAACCGCACTGGGTGAGGCAGTAAAATTAAATGGAAATATTTGTTAGGAGTCGAACCTCCGGCATGTGGGCCTGTTGCACACGGCTCCGCTCTCATGGCCTCGAACCACCACCCTTAGGATAGCAAGTCGAAAAAACTTTTGTGACGCTGGTATTCGAACGCCGGCCTAACTCGATCCCACGTCTCTAACCTCTCGGCTATCACAGAAGTTGTGAAACGCGATGGATCATCTGCTTTCATTAACGTTCGTTGAATGAGATTTTTTTTACCGCGTCATCTTGTCAATAGGAATGCGTGGCTGCGGAACGTGCACGGCAGTGCGTGGTGCCAGCTGGGGTTCGCGGGGGCAACGCGTTCGGCGGACCCTGATGGAGGTCAAGTGGTGTGGAGTGGAGCGGGGCGCGCGCCAGTTCCTTGTTCGGCGCGAAGCAAGCGGGGATCCGCCGCGGCGTTCGCCCCCCCCCCCTCTCCTCCCCGCCTCCGGCTGCTCGCGACTCGCGGCTCGCGCTGGTGGAGGTCGTGGAGGCGGTGATAAAGGACGGCAGGGAGGCGCCAGGGCGGCGCGATGCCGTGTCGTGCAGTCACAATAATTAAAGAATCCCCCACGGCTCGGCTCGTCACGGCACGGTGGCCCTTCCGGAAATGAAGCCTTTGCCCCCCGAATGGAGGCGCGTGTTATCAGCGTGCCTTGATGAATGCCAGCGCCGCAATCACGCCAAATTGGCTCAGCCGGGCCGGACGTCGTGCCTCCCATTCGGAAAAGAACAGTGATAAAAACAAAATACAAATAAAAACTAATTTACGAAAATGAAAACTTGACAAGGTGCGTGGGCTTTGAATCCGGGCCCCGCGCGGGGGTGGCGGGGGTGGTCCTCAGCTTGGGCCTAATCGGCGGAGAGTGCCCCGTGTAACGCTGCGTCACGAGCCATCGAACAGCGCGGGGTGTTGCGCCGTGCTGTATCATTCGTCTTGGCGTCGCCGTGCCGCCGTGCCGTCGTCGCCGGCAGCCCTTTGATGTCGGCGATAGCGCGGCCACCGCGTCGAGAGGCTGCCCCGATAACGCCCCCCCCCCTTTTTCACTCACCTCATCCACCTCGGCGTCGCGGCGGTCCAGCAGGCTGCCGTGGCTGCCCCTGAGCGTGGACGTGAGCGTGCCCACGCTGCCGCCACTGCCGCCGTGGAGGCTCAGCCCCTCCTCCGCGATGACGCCCTCCTGCAGCGAGGTGAGCGAGGTGCTCCAGGCGGAGTGCATGTGCTCCCTGGAGCGGCTGTGCCTGCGCTCGTGGCGCCGCAGGGCGTTCTCCATCGGGAAGGAGCTCATGGAGTGCCTGAAGTCGGTGAACTCGCTGTGGCTGCCGGAGCGCTGCCGCATGGTCACGGCGGCCACGCTCTCGGCCTCCGCGAAGCTGAGCGTGCGGCGCAGCGGCGCGCTCAAGGTCCTCGTGCGCTTGGCCGTCGCGTCGTCCGCCAGGGACAGCGTGGAGCCGACGCGGGACTCGGCGCCCGAGGAGCCGGCCTCGCTGGCGGCGTCCTCGTCGAGCGAGCTGCCCGTGTAGCTCGTCCACTGCGAGCTGATCTTCTTCTTGCGGCGGTGGCGCAGGCTGAGCGTGCGCACGAACGTGATGGCGGTCTCGTCCAGCGCGGCGTACACGTTGTTGGAGAGGTCACCCGTGCTGCGGATCAGGCTGGACAGCTTCTTCTTGAGGCCGTGCGCCAGCCCGGCGTCGTCGGCGTGGTCGCGGTGCCCGTTGACCAGGGGCTCCGGCGGCACGACGGTGACGCGCTTGCGCGCGCGCGGCGCCTGCTGGTGCGGCCCACCCATGCTGGAGGCCGCCCCGATGGACGCCCCGATGGACGTCCCGATGGACGTCCCGATGGACGCCCCCAGTTGGCTGCTCAGCGTCATCCTGGGGGCATGTCGGCCCGGCGCGCCGCACGCTGCAACAGACACGGCCATCGTTAGTGCGCTGTGCTGCTCGCCCCCGAAGAGCGTGAGAGAAAGGAGGCGCGCGGTGGCTCTGTCATTTCCACCTGCCCTGGGGAGGACTCGTCCTTGGGAACGCGTCCTCAGAGACTCGTCGAGCTCGAGCAGGGCGAGCTAACTTCTGGCGCCCCTTTCAGTTTTGGGCCTTTTGGGCCGGCTGGCGGCGCTGCCGGGGCGTCACGGTCTCGGCGTCACGGCCGCCACGCGAGGTGACACCAATCTGTTACCGACTCCGGACCGTTTGTTACCGCCACCACGCCGCGGCCGCCAATCAGGCCATGGCAGGCCGTGCGGGCCGTGGCAGGCCACTGCGCCTCGGAGACGGGGCTGGGCTGGGACCGCGGGGGTGGGGGTGGGGTGGGTTCATGATGCGGAGGACTGGGGATCGGCCGCCCCAGGGCTACTTATCTCACACCCCGCTCCGGGGCGCCGGGGCGCGCCGCCCCACTACTTGTCCACGGCCGGGCCATCCATCCCATCCATCGCGCCCCCGCTGCAGTGGCGGTGCGCGGCGCGCGGCGCGTCTCGAGCCCAATTGGTAGTCCGATAAAGGAGATATACGGGGAAATGGCGTTGCTATGGGCCTGCATGCGCTGCCGCGCGCCAAACGCGCCAACTTTTCCCTGCCTTCTCATTGCTGATTAACGACCGACAGACAGGCAGGCAGACAGGCAGGCAGGCAGACAGGCAGGCAGGCAGGCAGGCAGGCAGGCAGACAGGCAGGCAGGCAGGCAGGCAGACAGGCAGGCAGACAGGCAGGCAGGCAGGCAGCCAGGCAGCCAGGCAGGCAGGCAGACAGGCAGCCAGGCAGGCAGGCAGGCAGGCAGGCAGGCAGGCAGGCAGGCAGCTCACTCGCGACGGGTGGACTGCCTGGCGGAGACTAGAGGCGCTAGGGGCGTGGCGGCGTGGCGCACAGTGTGTGGGTGGGTGCGAACGTGATCTCCGCACGCTCGGCGTTGACGCGTGCCGTCGTCAGCTTTTCGCGCGCCCGCTGCTGCCACTGTACATTCAGCGAGGAGGCTCGCGGGGCGGCGTGGGGTGGGGCGGCCGGGCGCGGCGGGGCGGGCGGTAGCTAACTCGAATCATTGTCCAATTACCGGCCGGTGAGTGGCGCCCTGGCAGTGCCCTGCCCCCCCCCCCTCCCTTCACCCCTCCTCTCCCTCCTCTCCCCGACAGCGGCCGCGCGTGTCAACCGTCGTCAGGATCCAGTTTACACTTCCCTCATGAAAAGACCTAACAAACAAAATACCGAAGAGGGTAAATCACTCGCCATCTAAGTGTCCAGAGAAAATGAATACCTATGAATATTATGAACACCAAGAAGCACGAACCATTATTGATGTGGCTTTCTTTTCTAGTTCCTGATCAACAGCAAGGCGTCGGGCGGTGAACAAAGGCAAGGATCGATAATCCTTTTGTTCCTCGCGGTATATTTTGACAGTGGAGACGACGAACCGCCCGCTCTGCCTGCCCTCTATCTCACCGTCTCCTTCTTTCTCTCTTTCTTTATCGCACGCACACACACAAACACACCCTCTCGACGCCGACGCACGTGCGGTCTGGCGCAGTCTCTTCCCACGGCATTACAACCCCCCCCCCCCCCCCCCCGGCTCCGCCGCCCCCAGAGCGGAGAGCAGCAACTATGTATGTAGTCGCTTTGTGGATTCGGTCAAAGTAATCTCCAGCAGGAAACGTAAACAACCTTCGCGCGGTTCATCGGAGAGGCGTGGCGAAGCATGGGGAAGCAGCGCAGTCCCGTCCAACAGTTCGCGGGCTACAGAGAGAGGGGGCGCTGCACCCGTGTCCAGACAACTCGCAACGAGGAAAATCCCCCGCCGAGGGCGTCTTTGTACCATTTGGGAGGCAAGACGCGTGGCCGCCGACGCGCTGTCGCGCTGACGCGTGTCCTTGGGCGATTAGCCCACAATTACTCGACTCGTCTGTAATCAATGGTGAGAGGCGTGCTGATGGATTAACAGTGGTGGCTACAGAGTCGCTGCCGTCCTCGCATTGGCAACTCCCCTCGCGCACACACACACACACACACACACACACACGCCCCCACACGCTCGCACACACGCTCACACTCGCGGCGGCCCTTGGCAAGCGAACAATACGCCGGCGCAGGTGGCACGTTGGTGGCGACACAGATTAATGACTCGGCGTGCTGTGTGGTGCGCGGCGCTGCGCGGCGCGGCGGCCTGCAAGAGGGTGGCGGGGCGAGGCGGGGCGGCCTACGCGGCACGGTCTGGATTAACGAAATTCGCGCCGGGCGCGAGGACAGTGCGCCTCCAGAGCGCACCTCCAGCCGCCTACAGCAAACTTAACATTTATTGAGATTTTGGGTGCTCGTCTCGCTAACGGTTAAGGAATTTAAAAAAAAAACGTCATACAATTGGATAACTTAAATTAAAAATTGAGTTTCGCATTTCAGTTGACACATGCATGATTTTTTGCCTCCAGACGTTTACAAAAATAATCTCCAAAACCGCAAAAAAAAAATTGTGCGCCACGAGCCGCCCGGCTTGGTAGGCAAGCCCGCCGCACGTGCGAGCACCCGTGGTGCCTACCCATCGTTACCATTACCATTACGGGCTAGACCACAACTGATCGTATGCCGTTTAGGGAAAACGAGACCTGGCCTGCAAAACGGGACATGGCCGTCCTTACTGGGGTGACACGTTACACCGCAGGCGGCCGTCGGACGCGAATATTTGTTCCTCGAACGAGGAATCGATCGATCACACACCGTCGGAGTAGTATTCAATCTGGTCTGGAACGGGTCTGCCTGAGCCGGTCTTCCGTCTGGACCCACTGGGGCACTGGGGAGTGCAAGGCACTGTCAAAGCCGGGGGCGACCTGCGGGCCGAGGCCGGCCGGGGCCTGGGGGCTGAAGGGGTGGCTGGAGGGCTGGCCTGAGCCGGCCGCCCCATCCTTGATGAGTCCTTAAGGACGATGATAACTTTGGCGGAAGGTCGCCGCTTCGGCCAAATTAAAAGCGTTATCGCGTGGGCCGTGCGATAAGGGCTTATCACCCCCCCGGCCACCCCGCGCCGCCCACTGCCACGACGCCTTGGCGACAGCCTGGTTCATCTCACACGCCGTCGCAAACAATAACCAACTCAATATGTGTGTGCCGAACGCGCGGCGGCGGCCGGGGCGTACCAGGGCGGGGCGGGGCGGCGGGGCGGGGCGACCACCACACCACCGCAACGCGCCGCACCACCTTGCGAGGGGACTTCTTGGAGGACTCGCTGGAAGAAAGGAAGCCCAGGAAGTGGTCGGCCGGGCCGGGGAGAGGGCCGGGAGGGGCGCCGAGTCTTTACGTGTGATTTATCGTGCCGGTGGAGGACGAGGATTGGGGGAGGGGGAGGGGAAGGGGGCGCACCTGCCCCGCGCCGCGCCGTGGCCGCATTTTTCCCCGGCCGCCCTGACGGCCCTGACTTTCGATCTCATCTCGATCTCCGCGCCCCGAAGCGTGAAGCGTGCTACATGCCGACTCCATGGAGCGGCGGAGCGGCAGAGCGCGCGCCGGGCCAGGCCATCCCGAAGGGCGGGGTGGGTAGGGGGGCGGACGGGGGCGGGCGGGGGCCGCGGCTAAAGCAACCGCCTATTTATACCTCATCTAACGCTGATGAGGCACGAGAACAACTCGCCCCCTCCCCCTCCGCGCGCGGCCGGTCCGCGCCACGCTCTGACAACCGCCAAAAAGCTTGAAGGCTTCAAGTCGCTGTGGAGGCAGACAGAGCCAGGCCGAGCCGGGCAGAGCGTTAGCATGTCTCTCGACTCGTGTTAGTTGCGGCTTGGCCAGGCTCGGCCGTCAGTCTGCTCGCTGTCAGTCCGCTGGCCCGGCGCCCCTGGCTGCAAGTCGAAAGGGCGCCGTCAGGATTCCCTCGGTAGTAGCGGATTTGAAACAAACAAAATGAAAAACGTCTTGGAAACGAAGAGACAGTTTATTTTGCTTTGAGTGCAACGCGCGGCCTCGACCTTGCGGTCAGTCGCGGGGCGTGGCCGACGTCGCGACGGCCGTTACCGCGGCCCTCGCCTCGGCCACTTCGTCGTCGCGGTGGTCGCGAGGCGAGGCGCACGCTGCCCCCGCGGCCCCACGGTCAAGGCGAGTCCCTCTAGTCCCTTTTTACGGCTTATCAGGAATGGAGAAGGATGGCCATTGAAGGCCGAGCCGTTTCGCGCGAGATACTACAGCGGCGTCGCGGCGCCGGACAGCGCCCTCCCCCTCCCCCTCCCCGGCCGGTCCGATCGCGACGCGCCAATGGAAGCCCATACGGAAGTGACATGTGTCGCACATAAAAGGCTGCACGCATGTCAACCAGCCTGTGTGGCCACAATGGCTGCGGGTGCGGGCTGCGGGCTGCGGGACAGCCAGTCCGGCCGTATCTGCAATGCACGCCAATGCGAGCTGCCTGGCCCTGGCCTGGGCTCCGCGATGGAGTCCACGCGCCAGTACACTACAAATCATGCAGATCAAAGCACACACTTCTTACAAGGGCCTCTTTTCGGCCCCATGCAAACCCACAACACCTCAAGTACGCTTTTGCCAAGTACTATGCAGTACTTTGCAAGTGTGTGCTCGCAAGCCGCGGACTCGCAAGTGTGTGAACTTCGGAGTGTGGTGGTGGCCCGGCGCGGGATTCTGAATTTGTTAACCGCCCCAGACGACGACAGGGTGGAGGGGGATACATCGGGCGCCGCAGCGGCCGCAACCCAGAGGGACGCGCAGCCTCGCGCAGCCTCGCGCAGCCTCGCGCAGCCTCGCGCAGCCTCGCGCAGCCTCGCGCAGCCTCGCGCAGCCTCGCGCAGCCTGGGCCCGGGGACCGCCGGGGACCGCCGGGGACGCCCTGTGTGGAAGAGAGCGGAAATTAAGGCGGGGGGTGGGGGAAGGGTCCAGGATCGACCGGCCCTATACTCTGGTCGTAAAGGTTTCCCGTTAACGTGTGCCTCTGTGTGTGTGTGTCTGTGTGTGTTGTCGGGCGTGTGTGTGTGCGCGTGCGAGCGCGCCCATGCGCTTGGTTGCATTGCACTACTGCCGGGGGAGAGAGGGGGGGGTGTCGTTGCTGAGCCTATAGAGGGATGCAGCACACTGGCACCGCCGCCCGGACCGCAAATCCGGCCAGCCAGCCAGATCTGCCGGCCGTCCCGAGGCCACGCCGGCACGGTATCACAGCGTTTGGCTCCGTTTTTTTCCCGTCTGTGAACTGGTCTTTGATCGGCAGTGATCGACAGTCTGAAGTGACGTCATAGCAGCACGCGATGGCGAAGGGGCGTGCCGGGCGTGGCGTGTCGCCTGCAGGCCGGGCTGGCCGGGCTGGCCGGTCTGGCGGTGACCCCGCGAACACGTCAAGCTCCGTCGTGCATTAACGGTTGTCGCGCAAGGGGGCTGCTTCCGCCTAACGACCCCACGGCCTCCCCGAAGGGCCCCCCCCAAGGGCCCCGAGGCCTGCTTCTCGCCGGCCGGGGCGGCGGGGCGGCGCTGAGACACGGCCAAAGATCGCTATCTTTGCGAGGCCCGGCGAGGCCGGCGAGGCCCTACCCCACGCCGCCACGCCGCCACACCGTAAGGCAGGGCGCTCACTTCCCAACTTCCCGCACCGAACACATGAGTCACATCAAAACAGCGGCGTTGCGGCGCGTTGCGGCGCGGCGGTGCGAGCGCCACGTGAAAAGCAGGATTTACCGGCCAGAGAAGCGGCCGGCCCGGCCGCGCAGCATCCTAAATTTCCCTCAACTTGCTGCGTCGGCCGTCGGTTCGCATCGCCGGAGAGCGGCAAATATGAAATGAAGCAAACTACGACCGCGCGGCCGTGCGAGGGAATTATGTGAGTGTGTGTGTGGGTTGGCGGAGTCCACGACAAAAGAGCGGAATGATTCGCGCCATAATTGTTGTGCGCAGTCCAGCCCGCCCCGCCCCGCCCCGCCCGCGGCAATTAGCGGCGGTACAATAGTTGGCGGCATGATGATGTCGTGCGGTACAGTCGCGCAGCCCGCCGCCGCCCAGCGACGCGTCGCAAGCAAGCCAAAACAGAGCCATGCGTTTAATTTGCGTTTCTTTGCCGTGTATCGGTGCTGAGGACGGTTCTCCTCGGGGCAACAGGAACAGTGTGTTTCGTCGGCGTCCCGGCACTTTCAGCAGGAAACCGGAGCTGCCGAGTCGCATCAAGACGCTGTCGAGCGGGGAAGATGGTCAAGGCCAAGCGTTTAGTAACTCCTTTTTTTTTGCGACGACGCCCTGTCACCCAATACTCACGGTTTTCAACGGGCTCCGACAGATCGCGCTTCTGGTGTTGTCTCGAAGAGGTAATCCAAACACCATATGGCCTTCCCTGCCGGCCACAACAACACTAGCAATATCCTGCCCTGCACGACACACACACACACCACTACACTGCCGCCAACACACGGCCACTTTTTGCACAACAACAACAACACCGCCGTGCAGCACCTCTAAGACACTCTCCTCGGAGCGGAATTTTTGCCGGTTATTCCGGCAATTGTTGATTTCGCGAGTCACTCATTATCGCTTCGATAGCGCAGTCCCGTCCACTCGAATCGTCGAGTCGCAGGCGGGCAGGCAGGCTGGCAGGCAGGCGAGCTGATTTGACGTCTTCTAGAACGCGGCCACCTGACACATCGCAGCCTGAGGCGCACTCAAGATATCGCCGGCGTACTCGCGGCGACCGCTGGGGCCGTGACGTCACAGACGTCCGGGCTCCTCACGACGTTAAGGACACAGGTAAGATGCCGCCACTGTCGTGAATCTCGGCTGTCAAACGCCACTTTGGTGTTCACGTCACAATTCACTTTTTTCCGGGATTTTCCTTCGTATAGCACTGCACTGTGGTGATAAGGCCTCGGAACACCGCACGCGCGACACCGTTGGAACGGTCGTCTCGTCCACGCGGCGCGGGGAGACGACGCGCGGGGCACCGCGACGTGGACACGCGACGAGGCGCTCGCGACTCGCAGCCAGACGCGCCAGCCGCGACAGCCGCGCCAGACGCCAGGAGGTTCGTCGCCGTGCTTCGGACGCCACTGCGGCACGGCGCGCAGCGCGCACGGCAGCTTGGCCGTCGGCGTCGTCGGCGTCGCTAGTCCTGCGGCCGAAGCACCGCGACGCCCGCGTGCACCGCGCCCCGCCCCGCCCCGCCCCGCCCCGCCCCGCCCCGCCCCGCCGCGGCGACTGGCATTCCCGGCTCAGCACGGGCCTAGCTGATACCGCGCCGGTACACCTGTACAAACTCGTGTCCCGAAGCCCTCAACGCCCGCCTCTTAAATTCCGACCCAAAATTGAATTAAGAAACAAACCTTCTGCTTTTGGCGAGTGTGTGCTGGCACTCGCGCCTCTGCCGCTCCAAGGGCACTACACTACTCGGGCCGATTGGCGCTGCGCGGCGCTGCGCCGTCTCGCCGGCAGTGCGAAACAGTATCCGCCTGCAAGACGAATGGCGCGCGTGGCAGATTAAATTAGCCAAAAGAAGCTGCCGTAATTGCAGTCCAGGGGTACACTGTGAAGAGTCGGATGAAAAACAGTTTGCAAGGAGTTTGTTGTGTCTGAGAAAAGTTGTGCGCACCGCTCTACAGAAGTGGGTTGTAAATGACTTTCTGTCTGTCATCGTGGCAAGGGCAGAAGGAAATCGTGTAAGGGACGAAGATATGGTCGATATGGGTTTTACGATCGCAGCTTACGAAATCTTGACAGCTGTTAAAACTCCGGTTATTGAACCAGGTATTGTAATTTAGCCTCAAGGCAACGGCAGGGCAGGCAGGGTGGGCCTGAGCTCCTGGCCGTCGCCTCGGTCATCAGCACTCTGCACAGTGTGGCAGTGTCAAGGTCTGGGTACACACACAGACACACCAACGCGGTGGCGCGGTGGCGTGCCTCCGACGCGAGGCGGGTCGCAGCGAGACCATAGATGACGAGAGGCCAATAAAACTCGGAGCCTTCACCACTGGCAATCGATATATCGATATCACGATTGCAATGATCGTAATTCGCAATGAAGAAGACTCCCTAAATAAAGCGGCTTAGGCGCGACCCGCCTCGTCATCTTGCTGGGGACGTGTCCGAGGACGTGTCACAACAACCTGGCAATTCCTGCCGGCGTCGCTGCTTCGCTGCTTCTGATAGCGCGCGCTAATCTTCTTATCGCCGCCTGTTTGACGCCCAGCCAGCCGGCCGTTGCTGGACAGGAATTTTTCCTCCGGATTTCCGGCGGATCCCTTTCGGACGGGTCATTTCCGAGGCCATGGGCGAGAGCTTTCGCGAGCCTGGCTGCCCCTGGCTGCCCCTGGCTCTATGGGCACGGCGTCATGGCGTCGCGGCGCCCGGCCCGAGTGTGGCGTCTCTCTCCTCGGGGCTTTGTTCCGCCGCGATACATTGTGTGGCCGGGCGGCCGAAGGCGAGGCCGTGGCGCCGTGGTGGCCGAGGCAGAGGCCGGGGCAGAGCCAGGGACGCTGCCCGGTATCTGGCCGCCGAGCCGACAGGAGATACGGCACTGTTTGTCCGCGCGGAAGATGGATCCGTCGGCCCCGCTGAGATGGCGGTGCCATGGCCGTGCCGGCTGAGAGGAGAGGAGAGGCATTTAAGCAATCTTAAGGCGGCGCGCGGGCGCCCGCAGCTCCTCCAAGCGCTGCGCGGCCGCAACTTTTTTCAAGGAGCGGCGGCGCGGCGTCCTGCAGGCTGGGGGACGAGGACGAGGAGGCCCCGGAGGGCCTGGCCGGTACGTTGGCCCTATTGATCCGTGTTCGGTGTGTACTTTGCCGGCCCTCATGGCGAGCGCGCCGAGCGGCCGGCCTGCTGCAGGATGGAACGGGTTTTCTGCCCGTCCACCACCTCAAACTTCCACGATGAGGCAAGAAAACAGCGCCGAATCAATACCCGTCATGCAGGCGCGCTGTCCGCTCCGCGCGGCACGGCGGCCACGGCGGGCACGCGGCCCGCGTCGCCGCCCAAGTCCATTTCCCTGGAAACAGAGCAAAACATTCGATTTGCCTATCTGGAAAGGCCCCGGCCCGGCCGGGCCCGCTGGCTGGTCGGGCTGGTCGGGCTGGTCGTCGGGGCGGAGGAAATAGACTAGAAAAAAGAAGGATGGGGTGAGTTCCCCTTGCAGCGTGGCGGCGTGCGGCGGCAGGTCTGCACCACCCTTATCTCGCTTTATCGTTGGCCCCCGCCCCTCCCCGCCCGACACCTCGGCTATCGCGGCAGCGCGCGACACTCGCTTTTTTCAGTTTTGCAGGTACAGCACTGCGGCCCCGGCGTGTAGCACACTCGCAGAGTGCGCGAAGATGCGGGAGAGGAGATCGGACGTCGCCTCACCGCTTCGGACGACTGCCTGGCGTCACATCGCGTTGCTTCGCGTTGCTTCATTTCTATAAGCGGCTCGCCGCGGCTGAATCACGGACCGCGCTGTCGTCGCGCTCCTAAACGACCCGGCCGAAGTCCAGCGGACAGAATGGCAGCCCAGCCGGCGAAACGCGGACGGCAGGGGGGAAAAAAGGAGAAGTAAACCGATTACACGAAGTAGTGGATGCCTCAGTGGCCCGAGAAGACGGTTACTGGCATCGCCTTGTTACAGGGAGCAAGGCGCAGGGCTCGAAGCGGGGAGGAGGAGGGGACATCTCTCTCTCTCTCTCTCTCTCTCTCGCTACCCGCGAAGGAAGCGATCGCCGAGCCGCGAGGCCGGCTAATAGGCTCTGGGGACCCCCCCCCCCCCTTTCCCACCTCGTGGAACCTCGCGGAAGCAGGGCCTAACTACGCTCCACCCCTAATGCCTTTCCGGTTCAGCGTCCCCCTATCATTCTCGCTCTCTCTCTCTCTCTCCCTCCCACCCACGCTCACACACACGCCTCCAACCTCGGCCACGCGATTAGTTGCGTTAATTGTCCCGGCCTGCGATCCATCGCCGTCTTTCTCTTTTTCGCTCCGCGCGGAATGTCGACGGGCGGATCCGACAACGGATTTTGCCGTGCGTCTACAGTGTACCGTGCTGCAATCGATTCCACTTCCGAGGGGCGAAGTCGTTGGTGTCATTTGTGTAGCCGGGAGCGTGCGCTGCTGTTCGGTGTTTGAGTCGAGCTGCAGCGGCGGCAGTGCGGCGCAGCGCCGCCCGGTGGCTAGGCAACCCAACGCGCTGCGCAGCGCGCCGAGCCGTCGCCTCAGTCGCCTCAGGCGGGGCGCGGAGTCGGAGCGCGGCTGCACCGCCACCCTATCCCCTATCTCAGTGAAATTGCGGTGGTTGCCTCGGGACGAGGGACGACACTGTCTAACGCCAGATCGCGGAGCCCGCGGAGCCCGAAGGCCGAAACGGTTCCTTCAAACGCAGGGGGAGGGGGAGGGGGAGGGGAGGGGGATCGATCCCTTATTTTCCTCGGTCCTCTTAAATTCGCGGATCATGATTCGCGGTGCACGGCGTGGCGTGGCGTGGGCATCGCCAGCCCCCCAGGCGTGACTTCCTGATGCTGCCGTGACGTCATCTGGAGACACCCCGATGGCCGCCCCGCGCCGCCTCGCCGCCCACCCGCCTGCCTGCTCGGGCTGGCCGCCTGATTGGAGAGACGGCCAGGACGGGACGGGGTTCCTCGGTGGCCCCGGGGGTCGCTTCGGTCGCTTCGACACGGGCCCCCGGACTGCGCAGCGAACCGTTGCAGCTAAAGATAAGGCCCTCCCTGTCCTGCACAGCCCGGCCGCCTTGCCAGCCAGCCCCGTCTGCCCGTCGCCCCTTTGACCTCCTCGCGGAGACCTACTGACACTGTCACTGCAAAGAACACAAGTTAAAACCTTTTCCGAGATGAAAGTTTAAAAGTCCGAAAATGTGTCCAGTTTGCTCATTCCATGAACATTATTTGAACTCCGCGACAGCGACGGTCTCGCTGGGGGAAGATCTGTGTGTTTCCCTGCGGCACGAGGACGACGAGGACGCCGTCGGAATGCGCCCCTTCACAAACACAGACGGGTAGGGCTGGCCGGGCTCGGTTGGGCCTCACGTACCGAAGGGTCAAAGATCGGGCGCGCAGGGCAGGGCGCAGGGCGCGCTGGAGATCGGATTCAAAGCGAAGAACTACGTGATCTACGTGATGGGGTCGAGGCCCCGGCCGGCCGCGGCCGTCGTGGGGCTGGCGCACTGGCGGGTGTGGTGGCCAGTCTTGGGTCCGAGGGCCGCAAAAGGGGGAGGGGGATGTCCCGATGCTGCCCGATGCAGCCGCTGGGTCCGCCATCACAAACGAAGGGTAGGGTACCGCGCGCCCGACGCTGGCATCGGCGTGGCGCGCCACCGAGGTCCAAGGTCACCGCCTGGACGCCGCGCCACGCCACGCTGCTGCGCAGACAGGGACAGGGACAGGGGCTGACAGTTGACAGGCCGAAGCTGATACGGTGTTGCCTGTCTCGCATTACAACCCCCGGCCCGGGCAGCCCGGCCAGGCCCAGCCCAGTGCTGGTATGTCCAAGCCTGCCCTCCCCGCCCGCCCCGCCCGACAACAAGTACCCCGTGTCGAGGCAGACGGCGCACACCCATCAGCCCTCCTGCATTAGGGTAATGTGAAGGAGCCTGCTGCGGCCTGCAGCCACGGACGCCGAGGACAAGTACGCCACCGAGTAGCTAGCAGTGTGCAAGCAGTGCACGAGAGCTCCTCGCCCCTCGCCAGCGCTCTAGGGCGTCGCTGCACAAGTTTGCTCTCCTCTTACTGCCTTGCTTTTGCTGCCGTGTGGTGTGCCTCTTGTCCTTTTTCCGGGCTGGGCTTATGTCCACCGTGCAGGCCTTCTTCGCCACCCCGAGGGCCTTGTTTGTGTTGCTCGGGCCTCGCCGGGGCGCCGTCGTGTGTGTGGGTGCATATAAGCTGCCTTTACTACGGGCGGGGCGGGGCGGGGCGGTCCCAGGGACTCGCGAGGAATGTTCAAGTTGGTGCGGGCCTGATCCTAGTCCTAATCGCCAGCCGAGGTTGCCGAGGGACGCCGAGTCCGAGGTTGGGGTTGGGGTTGAGGGCGGATGGAGCGCTCAACACATGGCCATCCCGCCCCGCCCTCGGCTGTATTGCGAGGTATTGTCGGCCAGTAATATGTTCTCTCCCTGCTGCGTCAACGCAATGTCTCTTTTGGCTCCACTTTTCCCCGCCATCGGCCACGCCCGCTGGGCCGCCCCGCCCCGCCAGGCCGTCCGTTCGGGCCCAAGCAAGCGGAAGGGGGCGAGGCTTCGGCGCTGGCCTGGCTGGCCTGGTGATTGGATTCTCGCAGCGCGTTTCTATGATTGATTCCGGCCGCAGGCATCCGCAGCGATCCGCGGGGATCCGCGTGGAAGCGACGTGGCTCCGCGCTCAGCCGCTCAGCGCGCGCTTTTTTGCCGCGTTCGTCTTTGTTTCCGGTTCAGAGGCCAGCAGGCCTAGCTGCTCGAGCACGAGGGCGGCGGGGCAGGTTAGGTCCACCAGGTCCACCCACGCGCCGACCGGCCGACCGGGGAGCATTGAGGAATGGGACGGCCCTCTTGGTCCTCGGGGCACTGACGGCCACGGCCTGACGGCGACGGCCTGACGGCCACCAGACAGCTGTCTCCTCCCGTCCCGGTCCGCATCCCTTTCCCGCGCTTCCGACCCTTCCGGGACTCCTTCCACTTTTTCGCTGTCTGTCTGCCACGCCTCGCCACGCCGCGGCACGGCCGGGCGGTGTGAGTTTACTTCTTCGACAGCCCGGTGGCGCCTGGGCGCGCCTGGGCTGGCTGTCCTGGGCAGCACCCTTCCCTTGTCCTTGTCCCTCCGCTTGTCGGGTCGGCCCGGTGGGGGCAGTGCCTGGACGAGCCGCCGGAATGACGTGCCCCCCCCCCGGTCTTTCCCCTGACGCGTTGCCAACAGGCAAGGCGGTACGCCGGCGGGCTAGGCAACCCAACCGCCACGGCCGCGGCGAGTGTCACCGCACGGGCATCGGGCCAAGAGCCGACGAGCATTTCTTTTCCCCCGAGAGCATCTCTTTCCCCCAACAGCATTTATATTTTCACTGCGTGCATTTCTTCTTCGGCCACAGCCTAAGAGCTCTTATTCACCCAGAGATGTTTGGCGATAAGCAAAGTTGGCGTCTTGATTCCCCCAGCCGCTTCCGTCTTGGCTCCGCTGTTTAAGATCGGGATTAGCTTTATTGGTTTAAGTTTAATATGAAGAGAAGGTTTGCTACGCCAATAAACGACTTGGAAACCGAATGCACATTCGGAAGCGCCATCTGCCAGGGATTGGCACTTCCCTCTCTCATATCTTCGCTCGCGGTTCCCCGCCTTTTCCACACGCTTTAACTATCCCCCTCCCCTTCCGTCTCGGCCGCCGTAGCCCCGCGGTGAGCGCCCCGGGAAACTGTTTCCAGGAGTCGTGTTCGCCGCTCTGTCCATCTCGCACTGGCGCGGGGCGTTCCGTGTGGTGCGAACGAGACAGAGCGACGAAAACCACTCTCGGAATCAGTCTGCTTGGCCATGGCCAGCGCAAGGCGAGGGAGCGTGGCGGCGGTGGCAGTGGAGTGGAAGCCCAGCCAGCGGCAAGCTAGAGGCCATTCTTAATGACAGGATGACCATCGCCATCAGGGCCATGCTGGCCGTGCTGGCCATGCTCCACTTAGTACCCATCAAATCTTGCTTCTTTTACTGGCCGCTGACATGCAAGTCGCGGCGCGCACGTCGCAGCAGCGTCGCCTCCCTGCGTCCCTTACTCGTCTCGACCTTTTGTTTGTTTGTTGTTGTTGTTGTTGTTGTTTATTTGTTCTGGGAGGCGTCAAGAAGTCGCGCCCGGCGTTTGCGGGGCTTAGTGTAGTGTAGGTGCCGACGGGAAAGCGCGAAAGCGCGAAAGCCGGACTTAAGCAGGTGAATAAGGTAGCCCGGAGGCGCGGCGGGGGCGGCGGGCTCATCCCCACACCTCCCTTCCCTCTATTGTCATTCCTTGAAACTTTTCGCGCGCACTGCTGGCTGGCTGGCTGGCTGGCGGGCTGGCGCGTGGGCTGGCTGGCTGGCTGGCTGGCTGGCTGACTGGCTGCTCGCTGCGCTGGCTGCCGCCATGCTGCGGATAATCCAGGCTGGGGGGGGAAGGGGTGACCCACGGCGAGGCGCCGCGCTGAGTTTACGAATTAATTATCGCGACCGCGGGGATAAATTAAAATGCAACGCACAAATTCTCATCCCCCGCGACGGGCGAATTACGCGACCCCCCGCCTCCCTCGGCCCTGCTCCGCTTTAGCCAACGGCGAGGTAGCAACAGGAATCCTGCTGGGCTACGCCATGGCTACGCAGCTACGCAGGCTAGGCCAGCTGACTGATTTCGTCGCTCCGTCTCTCTTGCCGTAGAACGGAGCGTGAGTGCGAGAGAGACGGATAGGCGACCGCTGTGTTATTCGGAATGGCTGTCCAGGCCGTCCAGGCCGGGACGGGAGGGTGGCCGCGGCGGCCGGCTGGGGATTTGATTCCGCAGATATGGCTCGGTTTGTTGGTTCGGCCGAGGGACTTCCCTGGGGGCAGGTGAGGTGGGTCACCACGCTGGGCCGTCACTTGGCCGCGGGGCAGAGGCCGCATGGCCCCACGCAGCCCCACGCGGCACGGCCCGGCGACGGGGAGGCCCCGCCTAGGCCCCGCCGCGGACGGGCGGGCGTTTGCGTTTGTGATTCTGCTGGCACGGTTGGTTTGTACTTAACTATGCTCCGGCGACGAGTCACGCACGTGGGGTGGGGGTGACGCGGCCGCCAGCGAGCCCCAGGGGATGCTTCCCCCTCCCTCCCCCCCTCCATTTAATCCCTCCTCGGAAGCCTTCCGGCGAGGCAAAGCGCTCAGCCTAAAACGACACAAGCACTTGCTGACATGGAACCGCGCCCCCGGCGGCAGGGTGGCAGGGTGGCAAGGCTCGCATAGTCGTGTTGCGTGTCCGAAGCCGGGTAGGGAGAATAACGCACTGACACGCATTTCCTTCGTTTCAATTAGTTTAATATCAATAAAATCACTATGGCACATACTGTATAGGCGTATAAGTAAAATGCATTACAGTACACTAGGTGGGTGTTGGTCCCTTTTTTAAACAGAAGTAAACGTTAGAATAACAAAATAGGGTTCAGATCGGCACGAGATTAAATAATGTCGCCCGAACTGAAGCAGTAAGTGACAATGCCTTAATTAAGGAAAGTACCGTAGTAATGCGAGAGCATTGCACAAGACTTGCCGAGTGCTAACCAACCTTGGAAACAGCACTCTGTATTAGATAGGCTTTGTACTAACTTGACAGACTCATAAATAAAAGTAATTGGAGTGATGTCAGTCCACTCACTACAAGACTAGAATAAAATCTAAACAGAAGCAATAAAAATTAATTGTTTTCATATAAAAATAAAAGCATGAATTCGTGACAGGTATCTTGTGACAGAAACGGTCGATGTGTTAAGAATACTGGTAGGTCTCTTAAAAACGACTAAAAATAATACCTGAAACTTGTTTTGTTAAACATTAAAACGTGAAAAAGGCTTAATGGATGATTGCACAATGTATCTAGTTTTGACATCCAAATCGTTTCTGCTCGACATAAAATTCCAACAATATAAAATCTACAAATTTGATGCACCCTTTTCTAAGAGAAGCTAGCTACGAAAGGACGTTCTATTAAACAAGTTCATTGATGAGAGCATCGATACAGGGCTTAAAGTTAGGGATGCTGTAACGTAGGCAGTCACCGGCAACCGCCAACGAATATCTTACACAGTAATACAAACATAGTACGTACATGCATAACAACTCTCTGCGTTGTGTTAATTACAAACACATTTTACTTACTCCGAATTCTTAAGAAAGCCCTTTACGGTACTTAAAAGCAGTTCACAGCTTATTTTTTTTTAAAAGAAGGTAGAGTCCCCTAACTGAAAATTTGCCATGTGAGAACGGGCGCTCCAAAAATTAATCCCTCCCAAGAGCTAAAAATCAAAATAAAATGTAGATCGTACTTTTAAAATAAAAACGGAGGGAGGCAGCGGTCATCGGCTTGCTTCCTGAACTGATCAAAGTGAATAACTGCAAGTGCACCCAACCAGCGTCGGGTTTCCGACGCGCTGCTCGCGGCTTGGCGGCTTGGCGGCTTCATCGGTGGACCGTGGAGCCGTTCTGAGGGTTGGGCGGCGCCGAGATGGGGCCGCCGACCAGGGCGTGGTGCAGCCTGCCCCCCTTCTCGTCGTCCAGGGTCAGGGCCACGTTGATCACCCCATCCGATACCACCATTTTGGACACCTTCCGCTCCTTGGGGCTCTTGTCCTGCAACAGATCAAAGGAAGCGGTTAGTTTGGCGAGGCCGAGCAACCAATTTTGCACATGGACATAATCAAGTAAAAATTTCCAAGTCTAAAATAAAACGAGAAATTATTTTTTGCAGAGTAATGCCGTGCTTCTGGATTGCGTCATTCTTAGAGGCGTGTCCGGAGGCGGCTCACCTCAATGGGCAGGTTGAGTAGCTCCTTGACTGAGTTGGGCAGCATGCCGAGGAAGTTCCTGACGGGCGGTGCCAGCAGGTCGGGGTGCAGCGCGCACGGGTCCTGGAACGTGGTCAGGGCGGACACCGCCATCCCCACCACGACGGTCACCACCGTGCCCAGCATCGTGTACCACAGGTAGGACAGGCGGTACAGCACGAACACGCTGAAAGACAGAGCAGAAGTGAGGCGTTGCTTTAGCTTTCGGGTGCTGTGTCGATGTACTAGTTGAACTTGAGCTTTAAAAAAAAAACAAACAGGAAAGCCAGCACACGACGCCACCCACACACCAGCCCTTTCCCCAGTTGCTTGCTGCCTGGGCGCGAGGCCCTGGAGGCCCTGGAGGCCCTGGAGTCGAGTGAGGTTGCCATCGGACTCATTCCACCATAAATCTGGCAAGTTGCCAACCGCTGGGCGGCGCGGCGGCGCAGGGCGTGCCTGCAAGCCTCCTTGGCCTTCTTGGCGCGCGGCGGCTCGCCCTGACGCACGAGAATACGGTGCGGAGGGGAGGGGAGGGGAGGGGAGGGGATGGGCTGCGGAGGGGGCGTCCACCAGTCAAGCGAGGAACTGACAGCAAGCCTCACAAGGCGGCGCTAGGCGGCGCGGCGCTCGACTTGCGTGCTTTGTCAGAAAGCCCCTACTTCACCGTACAGAAAGTGGAGGGGGGGGGCGTCCTAGCTGGGCAGGGCACAGGTGATGGCGTGGCCCGCCTGGACTCGACAGAACAAACACCCCCGCGTGAAGCTCGGCAAAAGCCTGAAGTCGCACGCATTGCAGAAGTCACCCAAAGGCCGCCGCTAGTTCGTCGCGACGGTCGCCACCACGCTGCCATCTGCTGGAACTCCGTGCTCTTCAACAGGGCCAGCATGGCCAGCAGCAGCGCCAGCGGAGCGGACTCATCGTAAGGTCGTTCGGCCGAGGCAGTGGCATCGGCGCGGTTCTCGGAACGGACCCTGGTAATGGCGCAAAGTGGCTGCAATAATGTGAGCCCCCCACCCCTTTTCTTCAAGGGCCACACCACTGCGGCCACGTAGAGCACGTGACCCGCTTGCCGCCTATTAGCGCACCCGCAGGGCCTGCCTGCATGCATGCATGCACCCCAAGCACAACCAGAGCAAGCACGCCACCCACCTGTCATGGCAGTCGTCCTGGCTGGCGGCCGTCACGAGCGACATGAGGTGGCCCGGCGAGGCTGTGGCGTTCACCGTGCAGGGGCAGCCCGCCGTCGACGTGGGCGCCAGGTCGGCGTCCAGGGCGTTGTTGGCGATGGCCACCTGGACAAGTCCGCCGTTAAAATCAATGTCAGACAAGGTGGGGTAGTTTTGTTGTTTAGGGCGAGATCTACCTGCGCGCCAAGACCGATCCAGAGCACGAGGGCGAGCGCGGTCACGGAGCCCACGACGGCACCCTTGGCGTTGGCCCAGGGGAAGAACATGCCGAGCGTGAACAGCCCCAGCACCACGCCGCCGACCATGCCGTTGAAGCTCAGTGCCACCTGCAGCACTGAGCCCAGCTGCTCCACGACGAACACGAGGGCGAAGCTGAGCACGCCAAACATGACCGAAATCCACTTTGACCAGAACGCGCCGCGCTCGGCGGGCACCTTGATGCCCAGGGCGCCGTCGAGGAAGTCCTGCATCATGACCGCCGTCAGCGAGTTGAGCGCCGACGCCACCGTGCTGCAGGGCAAGAGAGGGCGGTTAGTGGACGGCAGGTCAGAGGAGGGGCGGCCGATGAAGGTGGTGGGGTGGTTACCCAAGCGAGGCCGCGAAGATGCCGGCCACGAAGAAGCCCGGCAGCCCCTTGAAGTGACCGAGGGCGTTCATGACGTAGAGTGGCAGCAGTTGGTCCGAGGCGGAGATGACCTGTGCGGCCAACGAGTCGGTCAGAGCGTGTGGAGCGCCGTGCGACAGAGACAGACGATCCAAGCTCGGCGAAGTCAAGTCAAGTACTCACGTGGCTCTGCACAGGGTCGCAGTCGCGGTACTCGGCGTACAGGATGGCGCCCATGTAGAAGTTGACGGTGAAGATGCCGATGAGGAAGGCGGCGCTCACCCACAGCGCGCTGCGCACCTGCGCCAAGCTCTCCACGGACAGGTACTTCTGGATGGAGGCCTGGTTGGCGCAGAACATGGACAGCCAGTAGAACGAGCCGCCGATCACGACGGACCACAACGAGTGCCGCGTCGTGGGGTTCGGGTCCAGGCTGCAACCACAGCAACACCATGACCGGATGCACGAACGACGAGGGCCTCCGTGAAGGACTCCAAGGACACTCACTTGAAGAACTCGATCCTCTCGGACTTCTGGGTCAGGTCCCAGATGACGGACGGTCCCCCTTGGAAGTGGTCACCGATGCCCAGGATCAGCAGGATGGAGCCGATGAGCACGGCGGCCTGGAAGGTGTCCGTCATGATGACGGCCTTCATGCCGCCCTGCGACGAGTAGAAGACGCACACCAAGTACACCAGCGACACGGCCACGTACGTATTGAGCCCCGTCACTGCAAAACAAATTTAACGAGCATTAAAACTGCATTCCATCGTTTGCCGACCATTAACCACTCGGTGCTCCGCATGCTCACCGTGGCTGAGGGCCAGCGCGGGGGCGTACACGGCCACGGACGTGTACAGCACCATCTGCAGCACGTAGAGCGCCGAGGCCATGAGGCGGGCCGTCCAGTTGAAGCGCATCTCCAGGTACTCGTAGGAGGACGTGAGGCGCAGCGTCATGAAGACGGGCACGTAGAAGCGGGACGCGATGGGGATCACCACGAGGAAGGCGCAGCACGTCATCCAGAACTGCGTGCCGTGGCTGTACATCTCGGCGGGGTTGCCCAGCAGCTCGATGGCCGTGATGAAGCTGCAGGCAGAAATGGTTATTTAAGACTTTGGGGCGCAACGAGCTCGTCAAACACGCCGACTCACGCTCAAGCTGGCAGTGCACAGCACTCCACCTACCTCGCCGCCAGGGACATGGCCATGGGGAAAGTGCCCATGGTGGAGCCGCCAAGCAGGAAGTCTTCGGACGTCTTCTGGCCCCCGCTGAAGAAGCCATAGAACATGCCGATGGCCACCGAGATGATGAGCATGGCGGCGAGCACGGAGTAGTCCTCCCAGGCGAAGCGGTTCAGCATCTCGTGGTCACCCGTGCACACGGGCCGGTCGTCCAGGACGCCGTCCTCCAGCGCGTCCTGCTGGAGGGCCTCGTCGGGAACCATGTGCGTCGGCGAGACCGCCGCCTCGTCATCTTGCAGGGTCTCTGCGTCCGCCGAGACGTCCGTGGTGGCGGTGATCGGCCATCCCTCGCCCGCGGTGGCGGCGGCAGCAGGGCCGGCCGCCCCCAGGGCGAGGAGCAGGCAGAGCCACACGGAGAGCACCGCAGCGCGCGCGGCCAACTTCATACCGAAGGGCCTTCTCGGAGGGGGGCGGGGGGGAAGGGGCCGGAGGGGCTCGGGGCCGTGCCTGGCGTGGGCTGCGTGGGCTGGTGCGGCGGCTCGGGGGGGTGCGGGACGCGCTGCCGGGGTGGCTTCGGCGCAGACCTACTGGGCGACGATGGCGACCGTGATCGGGTCCTTGCTGTTCTTCTGCAACACACGGAAGGCCCTGTATTAGCACACCAGCAGCAGGCTCAGTCCGCAGCACGTCGTTTCCCGTTGGCCGTGAATACGGGATTCTGTCATAAAGCGACAAGCCAAGCCACTCGGCGGCCGCGGCCAGCGCTCGGCTTATCGCGCCCGGAGCCCGGAACCCCCTAAACGGCCGGAAACGGAAAACGAACGCCCACAAATATACGCCGCTGCAGCCCGGAGTCCGAGCGGGGGCCGGAGTACCGGAGTCGTAGGCTTTTCCCAAAATCACCGGGTCATTACTACTGGCTGCAGTGGCCGCGTCGGGCCGCACGGCCGCACAACGACATGGCGCGGATTGTGCGCGCCACTGCAGGCCGAGTCCGAACAGTGCTCTCGTCGCTCTGCCTGCCTCGCACTCACGGGGAGTCTCGCCGCGGTGCGAGAGAGACAGCGCGACGAGGACCTGTTCGGAATCACTCTGCTGCGTAGCGCCGCGCAGCGCCGCGTTGCCACAATGAGCATTACGGCCGGAAGGCCGGAAGTCAGAGCCTGCGGGGGAAGCACGCCGAGCGCGCCGAGCGCGGCGTGGCGAAGTGAGCATGATCCAATCCCGAAGTTGGCATTATTCGCAGAGCACACAGCTCCGAGAGTTTCGCTCGTCTGACAGGGGCGGCTCAACCCCGCCGCCCCGCGCCCCGCCAGGCCGCCACACCCCGTGACAAACCTATTAAGGACCGCGGCGCGCGCGCGAGTGCCGCCAAGGACCCTCCCAAGAGAATCCAAACCAGACGAATGTGCGACGGCCCGCGGAAATTCCCCCCAGCTCGCGGCGCCCCGCCCCGCCACGCCCCACCACGCCTCGCCACGCCCCCAGCACGCGCCGGAATTAAGACGGCGGCCTATCCTTGGACTCGGCCGCCGTGACGTCGCGCGCGTCATCCGCGGGGCCGTGAAGGCGAAGGCGTGGACCTTCATCGCGCTCGAGTGCAAATAACCGCACACGCCGCCGCGCACATCGGGCCCATCGGGCCACCCCGGACAAGTTGTCAGTGTCACTGCGTGTTTGCGCTGCGCACTCGCTTTCCCCTCCTCTGCGAGCGTGGCGGGGCGGGGCGGGGCGGGGCGGAGCGGGGCGGGGCGGGGCGGAGCGGGGCGGGGCGGAGCGGGGCGGGGCGGGCGGGCGGGCGTGGACGAGGGCCGTCGTCGTCCGCCGCGCGCCGCGCCACCGCGCCGTGCACTGCGCGTGGGCATGCGCAGTGCGGTACACCCCGTAGGAAAGTAGCAAGTAGGGAAAGGGCCACACGTTTCCCTTCCCCAGGGTGTGCAAACTTTACATTATCATTACCTTAACGTTAACTAAGGAATTAACGTTATTACTATGACTTTTATTTTGTTAGTTAATGTTAGTATCACAACTATAATATGTTGAGTTTATTAACGTTAATTCTTTAGGGCGGCCATTAACGTTATTGAATTATCGATAATAGGTTATACCGAAAAATCCACGTCGTAAAACATTGTTGTTAAGGTTTATAACAGTTATGAAGAAATAACGTTAATATTTTATAACGTTAATGTGCACATAACAATTGTGGACTTTAGCACAAAATTCGAGGTTAGCAAATAACGTTAATTATTTTAACTAAAATCATTTCGTGGATTTCGTTGCACGCAAATAACGTTAATTGCTACAGTTACAATCGAGAATGTAATTGCCACCCCGCACTTTGCAAACGCAATTGTGCATGGCACGCTGTTCTGAACACTGTGCTTGTCAGGTACACAACAACAGTGTGTCTGACTAGGTCCTGCATGGGTCCTAGGTAGGTCCTAGGCACAATAAAACCCCCCGTCTCATGTTGCGAGGCACGGCCGGCACGGGAAATGGCTTCCACTGAATTAACGTTAATAATCGTTATGGTTCCTAACATTTAATATTGGTACATCTACCAATAGTTACAACTAATTAACGTTATGACACGATATCATAAGATTAAAAATAAACAATAAAATGCTACAAATAAAAACCCCTATTCTTTTAACATAAATTGCTCTGAAACTGGATTACCGTTATTCTTTTACCGAAAAGTAATTTGATAAACTTAAATTCGGTATAAAAAATAACCAGATAAAAATTAACGTAAAATTTATGAGTGAAGTGAATAACGTTAAAGGACGAGCAAACACTTAAAGGTTACTAGTTATAACTTTTAACAAATAACTTAACGCTAACTATAATGATAATGTTATGTTATTACACCCTGCCCTTCCCACGCCTCCCGAGGGTCTGCGACGCGCATGTCCTCGCCATGGCGGTGGGAGGGTAGGGAGTGCTCCGCCGGGGTGCAGCAAAGACAGCCGTCAACGGCCGCCGGAATGCATATCGAAGCGCGGTCGCGTGCGCGCCGTGTGAGCCTCCAGCTGCCTGGCCACTTGGCCGTTCTGGGAACGGCCATCGCCGGTACCGCCACGGCCTCCTTCGCGTCGCAGCGCATCGCAGCGTCGCAGCGCCTCGCGGCGCGTCTCCGTCGGTTCCAGTTGCATCCGGTTCGAACCGGCGACCGCACGAGATGCAGGTCCAGGTGTGGCCCATCTCGCGTCTCGCGGGAAGTGTTTCTCTCTCTCTCCTCCGTTGGAACAAGTAACATTAGACGCCTCTGGAACGGCCATTCGCATAAAAGACGAGCGACTGGCGACAGCGCGGCGCTCGGCTTTATTTTTTTTTTCTCTCGTTTCATGGTCCGAGCGGCGACCCGGCCCGTCCCAGCACTTGAGCTGCGGCGGCGGGCTTTCCACGGCACTGCGGGCACTGCACGGCGCGGGGGCGGGGAGGACGCCGCCGAGACCGTCAAGACGAGAGACCTGAATGCGCGCCATAGCCAGGAAAAAACAGCCATCGTCCAGTCATCATTTTATTTCGAGTTGCTTCTATATCTTGACCGTGTGTGAAATAAATTGACGTTACGTATATTTTTCCGGACGTTGAATTTATCCCATCCTAGGCTGCTCAAAAAGTAACAAGACTACGACTTAGACAAGCCAAAGAAATCAGTCGCAAAAAAATCTCGAAACAATCTGCTGCCACCCCTCCCAGCTACACGCTCTCTGGCGCAGAGCCCCTGCGAGGTAGGCCGTCCCGTCGAGCAAGGGTGTCCTCGCGTTGCCTAACCTCCGGGCGCTCTCCGCGCCTCGGGCCGCGGGCTGGCACACTGGGAGGGGGTCCCCCCCACCACCGGCCCGCGCGGCTCCTGACCTGACCGTGCGCAGGCGATCAGCAGGGAAGAGTCCCGCAGGTTCAAAGTCCAAAACGGCGCAGCGAGGGGGAGGGAAGGGGGGGACTTCGCCAGCTCCGGGTTGACGAAAGCAAAGGGGGTCATGGCCGCGAACAGCGCCCGAAACCGGCCGAAACCAGCGCGGGGCGACGGCCGAAACCGCCGCGAGCCGTCGCGAACCGGCGTGAACCGGCGCCGGCCAGCGGCAACCGCCCCGAACCAGTTCGGCTCATCGGGCTGGACGGACGCGGCACGCGGCGCAGCCATGGCGTAGCGCGTAGCGTAGCGCGTAGCGGCGCCAATGCCCCGCGCCGAGCCGATCGCGATCACGCCGATACAGCGCCAGCCAATCCGCGAAGGGGCTCTCCAACTCGCTCGAGGGAAGCCCGCTGCCACAGCATCGCGCGGCGCCGACACGAGAACGGAGGTGAAGACCCACCTCCCGCGGAAGGAACAAAAGCCAAAAACCAAACGGCCAAAAGCGAGCGCAGGGCTGGAGCAGCAAAAACGATCCACGGCGAACGCGGAGGGCGACATGCCTGGGGCTTGGGGTGGGATGGGGTCGCTGGCCCGCAGGTACGCCCAAGCCAAGCTATGGGACTTCGGCAACGGGACGCAGCCACACTGCAAAGCCAGTGACGCAAGGCCGGTCGCAGTGATGAGATGCAGCGCTGCGGCGCGGGGTGCGACTGCAGCCTAGGAACCGACAGCTCGGCGTCTAGCGCCCAGGGAGCGACGCACTGCGACGCACGGGGAATGCCCTTCCCGTCTGGGCCGTCTGGTCTGTCTGGTCCACACGTCTAGCGAGCGGGGACACCCCGACGGAAAACTCCAGCAGCGGCAACCAGGACCAGACGGGCCGGGTCGGGGTGAGGTGAGGTGGCGGCGGGTCGCGGATGGCAGCGGCAAGCTGGTGCAGCGGTGCTGCAGGTGGCGGAGATACGGTATCGGGTTGCGGCCGTCACGGCCGGTTTGGAGAGGAAGACACCGCCCCGCGCCGCCTCGACACTGCTTCGCGCCGCCCAGCACCGCCCAGCACCGCCTCGGTCCGGTCGCAGCCGGCACGCGCCAGCCCAAACAAAGCCGCCCGCGAACCAGTTCGCACCAGTTTCGGCGGGGTATCGCCACCATGCTCGCCAACAACACCGCCGCCGGAATGCCGCAATGCCAAGTCACCGCCAGCGACAATGGCTCAACAGTGGACGAGGTGGTGCACCACCCAGGGGCGGCCAGGGGCTCCAAAGGTCGTCCGAAAGGGGAGTCAGAACAACGAGAACACCAGAAAGAAAACGGCAGAGCTATGAGAAGAATATCGCACAGTGGACGGGCTTGGCCTCGACCTTGTCGAACACCCTACCCACCTTTTGAAAAAAGAATCAAAAGAATGAAAAGCAAACGGATTTTAATGTGAGGCCATAACCTAGATATCCAGCCCTCCCTAAACCACGGCGCGCGAAAACCAAGGCAAAATTAACAATGAGCGGACTGGGTTCCCGATCGCCACCGACAGTGGCGCTGACAGCCAGACCCGACGACAGCCGATCTGCCAGTGCTCCGTTCGGGGGGCGATCAGTT